GGGGCTGATGGAGCCAGTGGCGGATCCAGAGCCTGATCTCGGGAGGGGCACTTGTAGATTATTTAAATAAATAATCCAAGCACAATAACCACTACAGCTCAGTGTAGTAGTTATGGTGTCAGTAGTGCCAGGATTCCACCCCAGAGTAAGTAGTCATACCGTTTAAGAACAGTTTGACAACTTACCTGAGGTCTGCTGGGATATAGGGTATAGGAGCAGTGGTGTGTGTTAAGGGTGAAGTGTGTGAATGCGGCAGTGTATGTCAGGGACAGTGTTTGTGGGGCAGTGTGTGTATGGGGACAGTGTTTGTGGGGCAGTGTGTGTGTATGGGGGAAGTGTGTGTATTGGGACAGTGTTTGTGGGGCAGTGTGTGTATGGGGGGCAGTGTGTGTATGGGGATAGTGATTGTGGGGCAGTGTGTGTATGGGGGCAGTGTGTGTATAGGGGACCCACGGTGTGTGTATGGGGACAGTGTTTGTGGGGCAGTGTGTGTGTATATAGGGGGCAGTATGTGTGTATGGGGGCAGTGTGTGTGTATGGGGGACAGTGTTTGTGGGGGCAGTGTGTCTGTGTGTATGGGGCAATATGCATTAGGGACAGTGTTTGGGGCAGGAGGTGGTGTGTGTATGAGGACAGTGTGTGTATGGGGACAGTGTTTGTGGGGCAGTGTGTGTAGCAGGGGGGCGGTGTGTGTGTGGGACAGTGTGTGTGGCCTTATGGGGACAGTGTGTATGGGGGACAGTGTTTGTGGGGCAGTGTGTGTGTGTGTGTATGGGGGGGCAGTGTGTATATGGGGACAATGTTTGTGGGAAAGTGTGTGTATGGGGACAGTGTTTGTGGGGCAGTGTGTGTATGGGGGGCAATGTACGTATGGGGACAGTGTTTGTGGGGCAGTGTGTGTATGGGGACGCAGTGTGTGTAATGGGGACGCAGTGTGTGTAATGGGGACGCAGTGTGTGTATGGGGAGGCAGTGTGTGTAATGGGGGGGGGGGAAGGAGGCTTTTAAATAATATATATTTTTTATTTTATTTAATAAAATAAATATCCTATGTCGCCCCTCCCTTCTTACCTTTACTGGGGAGGAGGGGGGACATATTTCGATCCCTGGTGGTCCCAGTGGGATTCCCTGGTGGTCCAGTGTGGAGAGTGAACTCTAGCCCGCGCTCCCGGGCTAGAGTTCACTCTCGCGAGATTTGGAGCGTTGCCGTGGTAACCGCGGCAACGCTCCAAATCTCGAGCGAGGAGTGTGGGGATATTTATGGGATAATAATAGTAACAGTGAGAATTGCCCACTAATTCAATTCTCAGATCCCAAAGAACGTTTATCGTGTTAAGTGGAATGTATTTCATATAATAATATCACAATGTATAAAAATAGATTTTATTTATGATAATCAATAATTAACAAATAATATTATGTAACATGCATAACAATAATCAATGAATATTCAGTATAAAATGGTATGCAATACAAAGAAATGGGGATTACGTTCAATGGCTAAACGGCATTATCTGTCAAGAATTCTGACGATTTATGACTATCTTTAACACAGGCTGAAAGTGAAACTTTTCACAGCGAAGAACAGAATTCCTCAGAGTGCAGCGTAAGGTCGTAAGGTTTAGCAGACAGTTAGAATAACCCTTTCAATGCTGGCTAGATCTCCTAGGTAGTTAAGATCTATTCTTATGTAATTTTTAAATAAAATAACATTTAAACCAGTTCATTAGCCATTTCCAGAAAACAATCCAATAAGAGAATCTACATATTATATAAGCAGATTTTTAATTTGTCTAAAAGATATCTATCTTAATTTAGAGCAAATCAATACACCTGGATAAAAACAGCGGTATGCTAACACGTGATAATATCACATCAATATATATTATTCTTAATTCCACCTGCAGAATGGAATGTTTATAACTATATATTCTTAGTTAACTAAGATTTCTTAATATGGAAATCTGACCGTGCTTTATCCAGTCATATATAATACTATTAATACATTTTAATTAATTTAATTTAATTAAATGAAACCAGTATAATTACCAGTTGAGTAGATATTTCATCCGATTGGTAGTCTCAGGAATTTATTTGGATGTGTCTCTGCATGGAGGTTGGAGTCCCCAAACTTCCAATTCCTCTCTTTTCTCTCCTTTGCATATCTTGCATCTGCCTCCTTCGTATCTTTCTTGTATCTCTATCTTCCCTTTGTCTTAACTTTTAAAGGGCCAGACTCTCTGTACGTCATCAGTTGATAACCCAATAGAAGCACTAGAGGTGTGGTTATCTTCCAGATCGCAAATTAGTTATTTGGTCTGTAGAGGGCAGTCTTGTCCCACTAAACATACCTATCCAGGAAAGAGTTAACTTTTCCTGGTGGCTATTTTGACGTCATTTTGCGTTATCTTTATAGCGCCATAATTTAAAATTTCAAAGGGCTTCTTAAATTTTGTCCAGACTTAGCGTCTGCAATTCCTGCCATAATTTCTGATATGACAGATCATGAACTAAGTTTACCCTTTTCCATACAATGGTACCTTATATATACAGACAGTTAAATATTAAATTATTTAATCTTCTCTGTCACAATTGTCTGGGTTTAGATTTGATTATATTCCATTAGCATTTTAGACAGTCTGTCCAACCCCCTTCCTTATCACTTGGCTTGTATATACTATGCATTCCTTAGCTCTGGCAAAGAGGCCAGTCTTACAGAAAGAAATCCTGTGTCTTTTTTGTTAATTTGAAATAACAAAATGGAGTCTGGTCTGTTCAGAGTGACTCAGAATATACACTTTTAGTTTCTATCATAGCACAAAATGTCTGTCGATATAAATACTCTGACAGGAGGACCCGGAGGAGCTGCAGCCTGAGCTCTGGGTCCTCCCTCTCCCTCCCTCCCTCCGCCGCCGGCCGCCAGCACAGTGCCTGCGGACCGGGGAGGGAGAGCTCTGATCTTCCTCCCCGGTCCGCAGGCACATTGCATGGCTGGCAGGGGAGGGAGACCGGCGGATTTCTCGGGGGGGGCAATTGCCCCGTTGCCCCCCCCCCTGGATCCGCCAATGGGCCACGTGTGGCCGCAGTAGTATGCATTTTAAAATGGGATAGGTTTTTTGGCTGAAGGATTGCTCTGTATCCCCAGCCATCATTTGCTTGATGTCGTCACGCGCATCGTCATGCGCTAAGCCAGTAAGTGTTCAAACGATTATGGTTGAAGGTTTATACTTTTGTTTGTTTTTTGCACATACATTTATATTGTACATTTGCATATGTCATTGCTTAATATGGTATTATCCCATTTGTTCCATGGACTTTATTACTGCTAAAGTATTGCTATTTTTGTATCAGTAAATATTTTTGTATAATGACATTGATGTGCCATGGTTTGACGTTTACTATGTTTATGACCTTGATCCTTAAACCTTTGCACAAAATGTCCTTCTAAGACTTGTGGCCCAGGTTGTTTCGAAGCTGTCTCCTCTATCCTGGCATTGTGTTCTAAGTTACTTTAATAGAATACATACACCCCAGGGCCTGTTTTGACAATATGCAATTCTTGT